ATATATATATATATATATATATATATATGTATCTCCTCATTCTATATTCCTTTAAAAAAAATCTTTGATCTTTATCTCTCAATTGTCCTCCAGAAAGTTTATATTACTTTACGTTCCCACTTGCAGAATTATGAAATGACCATTTTTCTCAAGGCAGAAACTTTAAAAAAAATTTATGCAGTTTGATTCTTAACATATGAATGGATGGACTGAAAAGCAAAGTGGAAAGTGATTACTGGTTAGCTTATTCAGCATCGCTCTCATACAGAGAGAAGATTAGTTCAAAGGTCTGCGCTGAAAGCATGGATTACTCTTTATTTTTTAATTACTTACTATGGATCCTGCCTTGTACCAAAAGGGGTTTAAAAATGATTTACTAAATAAATAATATTCAACAAGGTAAGTTCAAAGTGTTGCAAAAAAAGAAACATAGTGTAGGGCATCAGGGAGTAGACTCCCCAGCCTCGCCTTGGATTATGCTAATTAGCGGGTCTGTGTTCTGGAAAAGACCCCTGCGGATGTTACCTTCCCCTGGAGATCATGTAGGAGTCCCTGTAATACCTCAGGAAGTTGAAATTTTATCTCTCATGAACTTATAAACTTGTTTCTAAATAGCAACTTCTCTTTTAACTAGTAACTAAATTCTCTGTCCCAATGAAGGAGTAATCTATGACTATGTGGGGAAAAAAGGGTAATTTTCAATTCAAACCTTACTGAATAATTGCAAAATTTCTTTCCTACACTATTGACCAGAGTTGCTCTTGTCTGAAACCCAGTAGCATTTTGTCTTTTCACTGCTACTTTTCAAACGTGTGTGTGTGTGTGTGTGTGTATCTTTATGAAGAGATTGAAGTGAGGAAATTAAAATGTGAGACTTAGAAATGAAAAAAAAATTGAGAACATAGAAATTCCATTAGGGTAATAAATCAGCATGTGAAGAACCAGATCATAAGATGAACTTTTTATTTTCTAACAAAGTAAATTTTAAGGTAAGCATATTTCACTGCAGATTCACATTAGAAGAAGAAAAAAAGAAGAAGAAAGATGCTTATACGTTATACGAAAAGTCTAAGGATGATTTAAAAAGAAAAGAGAAACAATACAATGAGCAAGTTGACCTGAAACAACAACTTGAAAGCACTGCCCGAGCACTAGAATGCAAACTGAAGAGCGTAAGGAATAAACCAAATCAGGTAAATTAGTCGTAATGTGAAAGTTTCGTTCCTCTAACACTGTTTCATCAATATTATTTATAATATTCTTTTGAATTAACCTATATTTTCATTTAAAACAAATAAAGTTATCTCATCCTAAATATGAACTATGACATTTAGAGCTTAATTTACTGATTTCTTGGTGTTCTTGGCATGTAATAGATGCTCTGTGTCTTTTCTGAATGAAAGAATGGAAGTTAAATTGAGCTTAATCCTTAACATAAGGATTGACGGTTTGGGTCCATTCAACAAAGTAACAAGTCTAATTCAAATCCAGGTGTTAATTTTGGCTTTTTGAAGTTAAAATCCAGGCTAAATCACCTTGAGACTATGATGGAACTGGTTAAATGCCTTATAAAGAAATTTTCTGTCACTGGGATTTCAAAATTTGTAGATACTGATAGGCATATGCAGAATAGATAAACAAGATTATACTGTATAGCACAGGGAAATATATGCAAGATCTTGTGGTAGCTCACAACAAAAAAAAAGTCACAATATATATATGTTCATGTACAACTGAAAAATTGTGCTCTACACTGGAATTTGACGCAACATTGTAAAATGACTATAACTCAATTTAAAAAGTGCTAAAAAAGTTTTTCTTTCATGATACTACATCCCTTGTGTTTTTGCTCTGGGATACATTTAGCCATCATGTATATTAGAATTTGAGTTATTTATGTGCATTAAAGGTCCCTGTGCTTAAAAAAGGCTACTTCTTATTAACAGGTTTAAAAATTTTTTTAAAAGATTCCCCTCCTAAGCTTTTTTTTGACTTTTTTTCATGGTATAAAACCCAAACCCTAATGTAATATGTCTTCAGGTTTTAGAAGAGCGAAATGATGCTCAGAGACAACTTTCTCCAGAGCAGAATGCCCGAGTAATACAAGATGAAATCCTGGCCCATCGTCTTTCCCAACAAAAGGAGGCAGAAAAGGCTAATAAGAAAATGAATGCTGAGGTATTTTCTTTAGTCATCTTCAAACGTGTGTGTGTGTGTGTGTGTGTGAATTTGTATACTTAACATAGTTTAAAAACCAATACTGTAGGTACAGAAGGTATAGAGGGTTTTAAAAGCCTATATATGTAAATGTATTTTCTGGAGGTTTCATTTCCGGTCTATTGGATAAAGCGATATTTTGAATTCAAATCCACTTGCCGGCAACAGTGGTGTAGTGACATTCACGATGGCCTCATCCAAGGAGAGGCTGTTAATATTGTCCGTAGGAATTGATGAGCTTTCCATTATCTCAAAACTGTTGCTACTAACGGCAGGCATTCTAGTTTCTGGCAGTGGTCCCACTCCTTTGATAGACGAATGGAGAGGTTACTTTATCATTTCCACTGATGGTAAGGAGGAAAAAGTATAGCCAGTTCAGAAACCGTAGTTTGGGTGTCATTCTCCTACGTGTGATAAAAAGTAACGCTCTGCTCCATGTGGTATCCGATTTCAGTACAAGGAGCTTTCAGATATAGTGATAGATATGCCATAATCTATACTTAGTGGTAATTGATTGATCAGTATTTTATTTTTAATAAAACAGTTCACTGTATTTCCCTGCTATTTCACACCCATTACTGTTACAAACAACCATGAAGAAGAAATAAAAATTATTGCAGAAGCAAATAGTCTCCTGATTTTCTAAGAAGAGCTCTGTAAATTTGACCTTCTTTACCTTTAGTGTATTCACCATTAGGGAAATAGAAGGCTTCTCTTGTGTTTATGTATTTATCCTAGAGAAGTAGCTTTGGTTTGATGTAAGAGTCAGAGAGCCAGAAGCCCTGGGGAAAACCCTGCAGCTTGCTTGTGTTTTTAACCCTTTATTCCAGAATTGTCACAGCTAAATGAGTTAACTGATGTTTGTAGACGTGCTTAGTACAGTGCTTAGGTTTATCATTTATCCGTAGATGTAATTCTTACAACTCGCTCTAAAAATGTTAGAAAGGGAGAATATTTATGGAATATTCTCAGGAAAGAATTTTTTAGGAAATCTAACCTGTCCCAATTTCTACAGAGCTAAGGCTCTTACTTTGGGGGTAGCTGTAAAGGCTAGATGTCAGATATAATTTTTAAGTGTAGTCAGATTTATTCATTTTTTATTTTAAGCCTTTTGGGTTTGCTGTATTTCAGAGAAAGAAGGGCCTTTCCGATTCTGAGCTTCTTAAACATCTTTTTATGGTTTCTTTTTTACTTTCATGGATTCACTGTCTTTAATTAAATTTTCGAACTTTGGGGGATTTCTGGTTGTTTAAAGTTTGAGATTTGTATCCACCTTAAGTTTTTCCAGTTGGATACCCAGTTACTGCAAACTTTTTGTTGTATAAACTTAGAGATTAGTCTTTCACTTCAAAGGAAATTATGATATGTCAGTTTATTGCATACAGTTCAAAGAGTAAGAGATGAGGGGTTTCACTTACAGGACACAATGGATTTTGAGCTGCCTGACCCAAAAGATAGCAGCGAGGTGCTTCCTCAGCAACTTCTTGAAGCTGAACGTCAATTCCGTGGCCCAGAAATTGAGCTCCATCCCAGGAGAGATGCTCTTAGACCAACGACGTTGGTATTACAATGTGTGCATAGAGACCGAGGCCAAGCCCAGCGTTCAAACAAGGACACTGAACCCTTGTCTCAGAGCAAACAAGGGGACGTCATCAAATACATTGCAAAGCAGGCACTCTTGAAGGAGACAATATGTCAACTACAAAGTGAAAACACGTTGCTTCGACAGCAACTAGAAGTTGCTCGAAATGAAGCCAGAAGTGAAAATACAATACTTAATACTCCAGAGCCATTTCTGGATCACATGGGAGAAGTTGAAGCCATGAGCAGACGAGTTCTGATGCTGGAGGAAGGAAACAAAGAGTTAATTAAAGAATGCAGATGTTTAAAGGACAGACTGTGTCAGTATGAAATGGACAGAGCAGAAATGGAAGTAAGTACCCAGAAAGGGAACTAATTTTCAGACTTCCTCAAAATTCAAAGTAGTATCTGATGGAAGCTGAACGTTGAAACTCGTTGAATATAAAAAATGTGTGGGCTATAAACATATACGCTGTAAAGCAGCCTAAAGGCATTTCTTGTATCCAGCAAACAACAATTAGACCTGAGAGGTGCTTTACTTTGTGTAAAGATGCCGTGTCACCTGAAATTCTAAGAGACTACGCTCTAAGCTGTTGACAGATACAGTCAGGTCTTACTAATTTATACTGCCCAAATCATTTTAATCTTTGTGTCACCACATTTTAGTATCATGAAGCAGATAAATGAAATGCTCAGACCTAAAATGAGTATTCTGAAATTAAGATTCAGTTGTGTGAACAAAAAATGTAAACAAAAACAAAAAAAGAGAGAGAGAGAGAGAGAAAAGATTCAATTGTGTGGATTACCTTGACAGTTAATGTGTAAATGCTGTATCTTGCAGTACTTTTCCTTCAGTAGCTTTTCATACATTTTTGGTTGATAAAACCTTATTTTTATTCATGCCAGTTGGAATTAAATTCAGAAATACTTCCATCTCAAATCATGTATTGTTATGACCTCTCCACTCCTTAAAGGCATCTACTTATCATTCAGTCATAATTTGGGACAAATGTAAATTTTAGCAAAACTGTGTTTGACTTAGTCTCCCCTGTTCTATTTATAATTTACTTTGAACATTTTTTCAAATAATGTGCCCACAGTTCTCATTGCAAGGCTCAGTTACTGTCATTCGGATCTAAGTTTGTCCAGTACAGAGGAACTGGGGCGCTCTGTGATGTTCGAGTCTGGCACTGGGGTCCCATTTTCAGACTGAGGAGGAGCAGCCAGAGTCCTGAGTGGCAGGAAGGGAGTGCGTGGGAGGGGTGGGGGGAGCCGTAGGAGCTGCAGTCCAGGAGGCAGGGGACGCCAGGTTGTCTCGGGTCCCCAGAGGCCATTGGAATAACCTCGTTTTTATTGTGAGATGGGAGTCTGTTGGAAGGATTTAAATACCAGATTGAAGATGTGAAGAACTCTGAACTTAAGCCTCTAATGAGAAAGAGGGAGAATGTTCCACACTGTGAAACTGACCACCGCTCAGCCCACCCGCGCACCCCTTCCTGTCTGAGACTTCAGTGGGGGTGAAGCTCGGCCGCTTCCTGGGAGGGGCAGGGAGTGGCTGGTGGGGCTGCCTCCATTGTCTAAGTTAACTTCCTGTCGGTAAGGCAGGAGGGTCACGTCTTCTGTGGGTTTAATGAAATTCAGTAAACAGGAATGTGTGCCTATGAGGAAAAGAAGGTGAACTAATGTCTGTGGGGATAGTTCTCAAAGCCCATTTGTTGGAGTTACATACTATTAATGTAACTTGATGATAAGGTGC